CCTCTTTGAAATTACTTTAAACTATGCCCGTGAACTCACCAACTGCATGTCAGGATTTTGAAGCTGCTTTTCTTGGATTTCCTCGACTTCCTTTGCCGTAGGCATCATGGTTTTCAGTATCTTCTCAATTCCATCCTTGTTCAAAACCATTGAGTCGAATTTCTGAACATTTTTATGAACACTATGGTAGAACGGTAAAGAACCTACGAAATCTTACCATAATAGCTGTTGGTATGACGTTGATCGGAGGCAACTTGGTCAGAACAATACTGATTGCCTGCGAGCGTTTCATCGACAACACTTGCAGCACGGCTGGCTTCGCATCCACGGGTTTCTGAAAACAAAATATAAGGTATGGAATTAGACAAAAATAGTGAAAATAAGTAAAAATTTATGTGGTTATTTATCCCCGAAAATCGCGCCGCGCTCACTGCACCCGATCGCGCGCAGATGCATTCAAGGGAAGGTTTGGATTTCTAGTAGAGGAATACGGTAATCGCCGCGAAGCACCTGCCGCTTGTCGTGAGAATTCGGGGAGAAATACCGGTACCCGAGCATCCCACGATGAAGTTTGATCAAAGCCAAAAGACTAAGGCATTAATTTTGGCAGACCCTACGTTCTTTAGACTCCTTTCACGGTACTTTCAATGATGTACAGTTTTTTTTCCACAAGGACTAATGTTTTAGTAATGAAAACAGAAGCCCCTGATTAGGTTGTAGGACTAATTACTGAATATGAGAACTTAACTTGAGTCGAGACGTATTAGACCAATGATAATGCATGCACGAACCGAGGATCGAATTCAGCAAGGGTCAAGTAAGCCATTGATTTTTCGGACCAATCGGATGGCATGGAGCTCTAGTACGATAGAAATTCATAGGCCGGTATTGAGACATTCCGATTTTGAATAGGAATGTAATGCATTTCTTAACCGAAGTGGGGATGATCAGCGTAGAGCGCTTCGGCTACTCATCTTTATGGCTGCATGGTGAGACGGGACAGGTCTCGCCCATCTATGTATGCAAGGCTTATTTGAAACCAGTTCATTGTTGGGTGCTAAGCACGTAGGGTTTTGTTCGATTTGACGTTGGACCATGACTGACTGAGTAGACTCGAGGATTAGTGAAGGTAGTGAATAGAGGAGAAAGGTGTTGAAAAATAAAGGTAAATACAGAACAAAAGCTTGTCCAGTCTGTGGAATCAGCCACACAATGATGCTTCAAGAAATGGGGCCAAATAGAATAAATCTTGATCTCTGAAAGCTACTTTCATTTTGCAGGGAAATTCGCCTCTACGACACTTCGAAAGATGGACTTAGCTACGTATGTCCAATATGCTGCCAAGCTTTCACATTACCTACCTCGCCTCGTCTGACTAAATATTAGCAAAATATAATAATATAATAGTTAACAAGGAAATGACAAACTTGAAAGACGTAGCCCACCTTGACAGCGACTTCCTTGTTGTGTTTGGCTTCGAAAAGCTGAACCAACTTGTTGGCATCGATTTGTGGACGGTCGAGTTTGTTCCAGAACGATCCCTTTTGCTTTAGGGACGGCACTGGAGGTGGTTCAGCTGATGTTGGCTTCCAGTGCAGTTTCAACACGCCTTTTCCAACAGTTCCCGATGGTCCTAAAACGGACACGAGTTTGTTTGTGAAGACAGCGAATGCAAATAAACAGACTGTAGAAAACAATAGGATCCCTCTCCCATGTTTCCGGGGAACGTGGAACTGGATCCCTCTGATTCAAGTCACAGAGGATTGGTGGATTTTACAAGTTCCCCGCTAATCGCGAACAACTTTTTACTTCGAAACTTAGCTAAATAAGAAATACAGTGAATAGCACGTTCCAGCTTCTGAAATCGACTGGTTCAAGCCTTGGAAGTAATATTCCCATGGGAAATTAATGCGAAAGTGTAATGCAATTTTGAAGAGTCCAAAAATCCAACTGATGTACTCTATGAAAGGAAATCTCTCAAAATTCTTACCTGGGCTCGTTTCCCGTTTGAAATTCGGTGGAGGAGGTGGAGGAACGCCGCCAGGCAATGGTGGTGGAGGAGGAGGAGGGCCGCCACCTTGGCCTTGTACTGAAACGTATTCTTCAGAAATATAAAATTTTACAGCAAACGGAGAGTCTGTGCCGAGATTAAATCCAGTGAAGACAAAAAACAAAAACGGAGAGGAGGTGAGGAAGTTAGGACGTACGTTAGCAAAGTTTCAAAAGACAATGATGACGCTCAGAGGATTTGCATACGCAAAGATAGGGAAATAGATCAGAAAAAACAGGCACATAGCTTGCGACAGAAGGAAATCTCATAAAAGAGAAAAAAAGCAGATATTATTCTGAATTACTGAAGTGCTGCGAACAAACTTGTTGGCCTCATAAGCCTGACCAGTTATGGACAGAACATCGGCATCGGATGGGACTTCAACCCGCACTTGTGGTAGCCGGGCACCGTGGTCTTATCCCTTGCAAAATCGAAACCCCGTTTGCACTCGCCATCTTCAACGCTTTGATTCTAACGAAGTCAGTAATGTAAGGGATAGAGCACGGTGTCCGGATAGCCCAAAAATAAGTTTGAGTTTCCTCCATGGAGGGCCGATGGCCGATGTGTCCTCCACAACTCGTCAACCTTAAGACTTTCAAAACGCGCACTGCGGCGAAATAACAGGTAGGTTCGCCCCAAGAGATTGATCAGAGCTGATTTTGAGTTTCCAGGGAAACGAAACTAAGCAGAAAGCATAGGCGGCACTATTTGCCTTGGACAGAAATGAGAAAGAAATGACATATACTCAAAAAGGGCTCACATCTTGGCGGCAATGGAATTGACGCTATTGGGGGTGGAGGCGGTGGACCGCCACCATTCATTCGACCCCCGGGCAAAATGCCTTTGTCCTGCGCCATTTGGGCAAGTCGTGCCATCACCAACGGGTCCTGTTCAAACTCTTCGGCATGGAATTCACTGAAGTCCAAATCGTTGATGATGAGCGGTCGCGATTTCAGATTCTCCGCTGCCTGAAAAGCAATCTTTTGAGTGTAAAAGACCAGACAAGTTTCACCGAAAATCAACCTTCTTCCACTGAATATCAGCTTCGCTCTCCTTCTGGGCGAAGGCGTTCCGATTGGCCTCCGCTGATTTTGCAGCACGCTTTTGAAGTAGAGCAGCGAATCCACCTCCACCATCGTCACGTTCGATCTGTAACGATTAGGGCACTGTTTCTGGGCGAGTAAACCAAATACCTAGAAATACCTTAGCTCTGGGTGGTGGAGCGGCTTTTTCTGGTTCTGGCTCCTTGACGGGTTCCGGGAACTCGATCGTTTTCGACTCTGTGGGCGAGAAAATTGTCGGAAATGATGGAGGTGGAGCTTTCACCTGAAACGATGAAGGTTCTAATGATTGTAACTGGACCGGAACTCTCAAAATTCCCCCAAGAAGGCCCTAACGAACATTACGCTCATGTTCTTCTTCAACAGTAGTCTCGTTGTCCACGCTATCAATACGAATCGGTTCAGGGACCCGTTTGGGCTCATCTTGTATCCGAATAGGCTCCGGAATTTTCTTTGCATATGACAAATCATTGTCTTGCTTCTGCAAATCATTTATCTGCTCGTCCTATAAAGAAGTATTCCCTGGAAATTTTTGTATTTGCTCAAAATGACGTCGAAAAACAGGCTTACCGCAGAGTTGCACAAATCTGAAGCCTCTTTCCTCCATGGCAACGACGATTTCGGCATGGGAGGTGGCTCACTGCAATTCAACAAGGATGATCTAGGAACAATTCAGATTTCTCTTCACTTATGACGGTCCCCCTCCCGATTCCTTACTCTTCGCAATCAACTAATCCCAACCCTGACATGTGGTTACAGTTTTTGAAAAAAAGTTTTTCGCCAAGACGAGCTTTCCTTTCTTTTCAAAAGATTTACAACCAAGATAGTACTTTTCTTTGACAGCTCTGATGAGCAAGAAAAAGCCCAAAATGTTTTCGACAATAATGAGCTGTGCTCCCACGATATGATGATTTACAGAGCGACCTTGATGTTTTAGAAAAAAGGCCTGTTCACGGGGAATTCACCTTCATTGCCTGACTACTACACATAAGTGGAAAGGGCAGTCACAGGGTTAGGGAAAGCTCAGTGGTTCAGTGAGCTGAGAAGTGGAATGAGACTCTTTCTATCGAAAAGCTACGAAAGCTCCCAGCATTTCGACTGGGACTGGAGTACTGTATGCTCAGCAACGGGCGTAGAATGAAATTTACTGTAAGGTTACCCGAGACAGCCAATTCCACGTTGCTCACGAGGGCTGATTCTGTCAATGAGAGAGGCTCCGAAGAAGGCGGTTCCGCCGAAACGTAAGCCATTGAGGTATTGTGAACCTCATATGGAGTTATATCGATAAGAATATCACGACAAGATGTTCATTTCCCGTCCGGATAAGTTATGGTGTAGGAATAGAGGCGAACAGGCTCGTCAAAATCAAAAGGTGCGGTCATAGAGAACATGTAGTTGCTTGAAAATCGAATTTAAAAAAAAAAACCAGATTAAAATCTTCACCCAATCAATGAAAATGAAGAGAGAGCAAAGTGGCATAGAAAGGATTTCGCAAGCCAGTACATATTCATTTACTCTTCAGTATCAAAGACCAGGTAAATACGTAAGTCAATAGATCGGTAAGCCTTAGTACATAAAGCCAACTCCTTTGCTATGTTCTCAGCTGAGCCTCCAGTTTTAAAACAGCGCTTCCACGGCATAAGTATTGATTAGTTCTCCTTTTAATCAATACTCGCTAATGATGAACATTGGCTCTACCTTTCTTCTACAATTACTTCGCTTGCTGTCTATGGTCAGACCTGAACTGAACACTTTGTCATAGCGTCTTAGCAGGATTTTAGGAAAAAGTCCGTTCTGGCAATGCTTTGGTGGGAATTCGTGAGAACCATCTCACCATTAATCATTACCTTTCACCTTGTCCGTTGATTTTTTACGTTACAGTAGGGTATACAGCGGATTTCGACCAGATGGATATGGTGAAGCTTTGGGGTCGTGGGTAACGGCACCAACCGAACACAACCTTGACAACCCCGACCGGTAATCGTTTGTTGTGTTTCTTTGGTCGCACGTTGCAGGAGGATAGATCAGTTACCCTGACAAAGCTCATCGTCTTACCCTACTACAGGTCCTCATGGGAAACGCGGATACCAGATGATTCAGGAGGTATCGTTCCAGAAGAGGAACCGATTTTAAATGAGTGTGAAATCCAACGATCACATGGCATTAAAAAGGTAAAATTTACAAGCGGTTAATCATCCAAAGTCAAAAAGTTGACTAAAAGGGATGGGAGAAAACAATCAGAGCAGTGGAAGAAAAGTTAGGATTATGAATAGGTGAAAAGAGTAGACAGAAAGGATTGAAAGAAGTGGAGTTGGGGTAAAGTGAGATCGACAAACATTGCATTACTTCGTTCGTTAGACAACCAACTACCAGTGTCTTGCACAGGCGTAGCATATAGTTCTAGTTTTTTTCTCCTTCCCCGCAAGATCCTCTCCCTTTGTTTACACAATTCGGTGTGGTGGATTTCAGAAGGAACCGATGATTCTAAGGCACGTACTTCTCTTTAGCGAACATATTCCGGCTTTGAGCGAATGCAATATGCTCTTCTTGACGTTGTCGAGCTTCTTGATGTCGTCGTCGCATCACCGATCGACGATCCGATTCGTGCATGGTTTGTTGGGAAGATGCTCTAAAACTATGGCATACACATGAACACACCAGTAGAGTCTTTGCAATCAAGCGAGACTCAATCAGAACTAACTCATTACAAAACCAAATTCTTAACCACACAATCACTACAAATTAAAAAAAAAACAAGCTATAAAGTTAATAGAAACTTCATGCACACACACCTATCCATGCTGGGTGCATTAGTCGTCGATTCGGTCACGCTATGACAATCCGAATCAGTCCGTATCCGGGAAGGACTTGCCGAATCAGTTTCCCTGCCACCCGATTCCCATGACGACTCCTTCTGCTGTGCTCTCCTTTTATCAATGTCATCGTCGAAATGGACCCCATTGGTAACCCGTGGAGGAATTGCACTATATGACCATCCATTCGTGGGACGATAGGGCTGAGTCTCGGCAGGAGTTGAGTGGTTGGCCGAGGGAGAGGAAAAGGACGGTGATGAGTTTGGCACGAATGGGCTCGATGGAGAGGAGTTCTCGTCGAGGCATGGCAGATTACTTGCGAACGGCTTCTGCGATGGGCTGATGTTTGGAGCACTGGATCGTCGTCGGGCAGCCGCTGTCATCACAGTAGTGCCACTTCTGAATAACTCACAGCAAATTAGTTATGTTCTATGTTAATGGACACACTTCATCATGCAGAGTAGGGTTACAAACAAACAACAATACAACAATCATTGTCGATGGGGAAAACGCATCGCAAAAGGTTCTATCAACGAAAATTTCAGTCAAAGCTGCTACAGTACCTATACAGCACTGACAGTTACGGTAACAACCTTAACAAGCCGAAAAAAATTAAAGCTAAACTTGGAACTTTGCTTGGAAATGCAATTTCATAGTCTTAGGCCATACTAAAACGGAAAATGAAGGTGTGAGCGGTCAGCAGCAGGTGAAGGCGACGACACTCGACAAAGAGATGGTAAGGTGCGATTGGGCGCGACAGCCGGAATGCCAGCCAGTCTTAGCGGAGGGAAAGCGGAAGCCACCGCGGCCGTCGATGTTTCGGGTACAAACGTACCTCATGCGTGCATTGACGTCGTCATCGCTATTCTCGGCTCGTTCATCTTCCTTACTCAGCTCGCGCTCGTACAATCTGCACTGCTCCAATAGTTCGTTGTTTCCCAATTTCACCATGCTCTTCATGGCCTCTTCCATCCCCAACATTTCCAGCGTATCTACGGCATCGTAGTAGGTATCCTAAACAAAAGTGAGTCCATGGTAACAAAAGAGGAGAGTGAAAGAAGGGGTCCGGATTGCTCATAGGCCGCAGATGGTGTAAAAGTAAAAAACTAAGTAGTTCACTTACACTGTCCGGAATGCCCCTTAGCGTTTTGTTGATCACCGTCATTCCATAGACGAGGGTTTCCGGATCAGGTGAATCTTTTTCAGATATCACTTTCATCAGACCACTCCAATCTTGCTGACCTTAAAGGAACAAAGAAGTTCTGAGATACTTTTTACCGATGAATACATTTAGTTATAATACTATACACTATATGTATCCAAGATGGGGTAGGATCGTGGAATGGACGCCGCCTAAACATGGGCAATCCACAGATCGGATCCTACCCATATTAGCAAGAAGAAAGCCCTCCCGGGGAAGAGAATTCATCCGTGCGAAATTCTCTGATCTATCTCCCAGATTAACTCCTTTTCTAGCTCATCTGAGGGAGTAGTGTGCCTATACAGATTTTGAACCTTGAGGTGGAGCACTTTTCGCTTTTTTTCCACATTCAACTCCCAATAAATTGTATCAATAACAACATATATAGGAAGGAGAGAAGTTGCTAAACAGAAAGGTGGGAAAGGCGACGGGTGGTTAGCCACCATGGCTGCACTCTGATCTGAAGATGAACTCTCGGTACCTAAAAGTTGAAAGTATGTAGATACGACAGTGAGCTACTTCTAATCAATACGTAGTTGTCTCATTGATACATTTGAT